GGACGGAAATGACGGAAGTGGGAAAGTTCTATTTCTGCAATCTACGCTTTTACTTAATTTTCACTCTGTTACTCTGTTTAGTTTGCAAACACTCGATGTCTCACTCAACTTGTCAATTTACCGTCAACGATTTCTCGTTCAGTTTTCAATGGCGATTTCCATGATGAGTTAACAAGGGACAGGATTATCGAGGTTTCGACAGTAGATAGCACCGTTGAGGTCTAAAATGAGTCCCATGGCGCAGCGAGGGCGGATGTTGATATTTTTATTCATGATAATGATGATGATAGCAAAGCACCGATACTTGAACAACTTCATGGAAGTTGTACTGGACATTGCATCGAAAACAAATCACTACCTCAATATTTTAATATAACATAGACCTTGGCAAGGAGAATTGTTAGAGGAAAAAAAAACATTAACCGGCGTCTTACCTGGCTTTAATCGTGATTCAAACTTGGCAGCCGCCTGTAACTTAGCTGTGATAAGACTCGAGTTATTGCAATATTCCTTATAGGACTACGTAACTGGTAAATTGTGTCTCGCCAATGATTTTGCAAGTCGAACGCAACAGAAGCGCAGGTTAGTACTGGGAAGACGTACAGCAGTCTATTCGCCTGTAGGCACTGATTCAAGGCAATCTGTTTGTGCTCATGCCATAATTTGACCATGAGTTTAAAAAGGAAGTTTAAAAAAGAAGAAAAAGAACTCGGTCAACTTTTCACAAAACTGGTACACTCGCAATTAGCTGGCCTTGAAACCTAAAATTAAAAAGCACTTCTTGAAAACTTCTTAAGGATATTCATTGGAATCTCTTTTCCAAAGAAAATCAAATGATAAGGAATAAACATTGAACGCAATGTTTTCGTTTCTGCGATTAGACGTCAAAGACTCGAGTAAGTGACTCAAGGCAGTAAAAATCTTCTTCACATCGTGACATGAATCAGTACCCTCCGAATCTACCTGCTTACTTAAATTACACTTAAAGCTATCTGCAACAGGCTTTTAGATCGCTTATGTTCATCAAACTTTATTATCTTTGTAACAACGTCTAATTTTCGAACTGAGCCTGAAAGTTCTTAGTGTTTTTCCATTTGACCCTGAAATGTTCTTGGCAGTCAATTCAGCCGTGATAAAACGTGATAAAATGTTCTTAAGTTCCTTTTTACGCACACCGGGCAACGAATCAACTCCGCTCGTGCACGTGCCTAGCTAGGATCAGGAAGTTATCAAAACAGATACAACGGAGGATGTGTATACTAATCGCTTATCTTCGAGCAATCTCTCTAAAATTAAAAGCATTTGTCTACTGGACTGCATAACTCACATTTTACCAAAGTTCATATTGTTCAGTTCTTTGAAAAAGTTATCAAAACGAACTTCCTTTTGTGACTCTCTGAAGCACAATTGTCCTCGAATGAAACTCATTTCATTTCACGGGATTTGCTGAAGAAAGCCAAGAGCGTTTGTTTACTTAGTTATTAAAATATCTAGCTGACTTGAATGACAGCCCTGTATTTCTCTGTAAAGAACCTTAACCTTAAAAGCAACACAGTAAACTGCATGTGAGCAAAATGTTTGAAAAGATGATTTAATTTGATACTGTGTTTCAAATTCACGAAAGTGGGAAAGTTCCATTTTTTACAATGTATTTTTTCACGTAATTTTCACTCAGTTATTATGTTTAGTTATTTTTTACCACCGAATGATTTCTCGTCCAGTCTTCAATGACGATTTTCATCACGAGCTAAGAAGGGACAGGGAAGAAGGGAAGGGACGTGGAGGCCTTGTGCGTCCCATGGCGCAACGAGGACTGATGTTGATCATTACTTTTGTCATGATGATGATGATAGCAAAGCACCGTTGCTTGAACAACTCCACAATAGTTGTACTAGAATTTGCATCGAAAACAAATCAGTACTTCAATATTTCAATATGAAGATAGACTTTGGTATGGAGAATTGTTAGAGAAAAAAAAAAACATTAACCGGCTTTTTGCCTGGCTTGAATCGTGATTCAAACTTGGCAGTCACCTGTAATTCAACCGTGATAAAACGTGATAAAATGTTCTTAAGTTCCTTGTTGCATACACGTGGCAACGAATCAACTCCGCACGTGTACGTGTCTAGCTAGGATCAGGATGTTATCAAAACAGATACAGCGGAAGATGTGTGAAGTAATCGCTTATGTTTGAACAGTCTCTCTAAAACTAAAAGCATTCGGCTACCGCATAGACTCGCGTTTTACCAAAGTGCATAGTATTCTTTATAAGAGTTATCAAAACAAACTTCCTCTAGTGACTCTCAGAAGCGCACGGACTTTGGTGAACAAAGCCAAGAACGTTCATTAATAACTAGTTTCTTGCATGACAACCCTACACTTCTCTGTAAAAACAAGAAATCATCTCTAAAAGCAATGCAGCAAACTTGCACGAGAGGAAAACGTTTGAAAACCTGCTTTAATTTGATGCCACGTTTCGTGACAGGAAGTTCAAAATGACGAAAGTGGGAAAGTTCTATTTCTGCAATGTACTTTTTCACGCAATTTTCGCTCAGTTATTCTATTTAGTTCTCTTACAGCCAAAGATTTCTCGTCCAGTTTTCAATGACGATTTCCATCACGAGCTAATCCTTGAAGCTTCGAAACTCGCGACTGCAGATATCTCTGCTGAGGTGCAACGAGGACGGATGTTAATCTTATTTTTCATGAGTGTGATTATGATGGTAAAGAACCGGTACTTGAACTACCCTACAGCAGCTGTACTGGACTTTGTATCGAACGACAAATCACTACTTCAATATTTTAATATATTTACTGGGCCTTTGCAAGGAGAATTGCAAGAGAAAAATCGCATTAACAAGCCTCTTGCCCGACTTGAATCGTGACTCAAACTTGGCAGTCACCTGTAATTCAGCCGTGGTAAGACTCGAGTTATTCCAATATTCCTTGTAGGATTACTATCGTTTAGTGATTACTATCGGTTAGTGATTTGGCACAAGTGGTTTACAACAATAGAAACAAATACTTCCAATTCAGTGTCAAAGGTAACATAGCAAAGACTGCTAAAATTTGAGACGGATTACATGTAGGAACGACGGAGTCAAAAAAGGATAAAACATCAAGACGAAACTCCTTAAGGCGACCATTTTGATCGACAAGACCACTTAATTTGTTTTCTGAAATAGTTTTACTATGTAAACTTATGACTGTCACGCCCAATATTTTGCAAGTCAAATTCAACAAACGTAGACGGTCTACATGATAAACGTAGAGTTAGAAGTGAGCCTGTGTGCACCAGTCTGTTGTTCATGACATTATTTTGGCTGAGAGCCGGTACTGACTGACCTGTGTTCGATTTCCTGGTTCAAAACCAGAACGTTAATAGATTTACAACAGCCGTAAAGAGGATAGCGGTTAATGCGTGACACGTGACCAAGGCATTAGTAAATAAACGTGATACGAATGTGAATTTTGGAACAATTCGTACGTGAAACGGGCTCTTGGGCCCTTCTTTGTTACAATACGTGGACACAATTTGATTCGGACCCTTCGCTAAGGTTTCTGGCGTCTCAGTCAGAGATTGTGTGCTTTCTTTGAAAACTAATTGGGAAGAATTCAGCAGGAGGAATGAAAAATTCAAAGTTCAAATTATTAAAAAGATAGAGCTTTGATTAAAAGATAAAGAACTCTTCTCTGAGTTATTGTACTTTCCAACTTTTCATAGGTTGCGATTTTTTTTCGCTAGTTGGCCAAGCGAGTTTTCCTTTCAGACCTTGCATGCATAAACGCGTATGCATACCGCGCAAATAAAATACTGAACCTTTCAACCTTAATTCTGTCCGGTGTTGCTGAAGCGTGGCAGTCTGTAACACACTGTCGCAATATTCCGCTAGGTCAAGCGCGAAAACAATGCCAAACAATCCCAGCATGTGGTTTTGTCACCCATAAGGGTTTTGTTTTTAGCAAGAAAACTATGAAAAACAAAGTGAAAACAAAAGCTATAAACACAAGACACATGCAAACGAAAGGTTTTGAAAGATGATGTAATCAGATGCCGTATTTTGTGACTCTATGTTATAGGAGCGCTCAGTCACGGTTTGAGCATATTGAAAAGTTAGCAATCCGTGTCAATCTTCTCCATCCTTAGCCATCCTTGTTCCTTGATGATTTATCATTATCTCTTTGGTGTTTTTCTACCTTATTAAACTGTTATTTTCAGGTTTCCTACCATTTAAAGGTAATTTTGTATGTGGCCAAAATAACTCAAAATACCGTGAATGAGCTCCTTTAACCCATTGACCGCTAAACCCGACAAAATCAGGGCTGAGAGACTTGCTAAGCCTTCACTTTCTATGATAAGAGATCGAGTACAGTTAGTTTCCCAACGCTGTAGTAGACATAAATACGGAAGCAGAGTCAATGTTTCAGCGGTCAAAAACTTTCGACGCTGTCACAGCGTCTCAAGAGAAAATGGCGGAAATCTATTTGTCACGTGAGCTTGGGTTAACAAAGTCGCGTGCTAAAAGATCCCCGTACGATAAGAGATGTTTTTCATGTACAGCTGATAAAGCGGGTAAAAAATGTCACAAAATATACCTTAGTGAGCACGATTTGATGTTCTGGGCGAGAGATACACACATAAAACCTACGAATTTGTATTCTGAAAATCGAAGAAAACCTTGTCCTTTTCACTATCGACGATAAACACTTTTAGTGCAAAATCTTCAGTTTTCTTGATATTCTGGTGAAAACGTTTCCAAAGCACACAAACGCCGCTAAATGACCATCGTGACCACCAAAGAACGTAAAAGACAAAGAAATGGAAAAACGCCGATAAAAAAAAAATCGACAAATCTCAAAATTTTGCTTTCTGCCCTAACCGAAATATTAAAGTGCTGCCTAAAAATGGAAGAGAATGTACAAAAATTAAGGGTTAAAATTCACGGAAGTCCGACAGTTCAATTTACTTTTCATGCCTGCAACCTGCTCTTCTTATGCGAGTTTCACTCAGTTGCACTGTTCAACTTTCAGAAACACATTGCGACTTTTTATCTTACACCAGGATGTCCCACTTCTAATGACAATTCCAAACACGAAGAGACAGGATTATCGAAGCTTCGATATTTGTATAAATTATACAGTCGTTTCTTAAACAACTCTAACGGTTTTATTATATTCTCCAGGCCAGGAGTTGAAGGGTCATTTAAAGGAAACATTTGTTTTTTAAACAAATTCGTAATCCTTATTGGCCGAGAAGAGCAGTCGGACTGACCTTGGCATTCCATGAAGACGAAAAAAGAAAAACTATTACAACGTACAGTAACATTAAACTATGACAAGGGACCGAATGATTACGAGAAAGAGAAAAAGCACTAACCGGCCACTTGCTTTGCTTGAATCTTGATTCAACTTGGAAGCCGCCTCAAACTCGGCCATGATAAGACTCGAGTTATCCAAGCGAGTACCACCACTGAACTTTGTCGACTGGAAGATATCAATTCGAGGTGTACTCTGTAGGCAAAACTCTACTCTAATGGGAAGAAACATCGTGCAGAGATATTTATACCCCAGTTATAGCTGCAAAGGTCGTCACAAAGGTTGTCAGCGCATGAGGAACAAAACCAATTTCCTCTTCAGCACTCAAAGAACATACACCCACTTTACCCCAACACGCAACAATCAAGTTCAGCTTTGAAGTTTCCGCATTCGCAAAAAATTGAATATTTACAATATTCCTATCAGGAGTACGTAACAGTCGACTTTTCACAAAACGTGTACTCGCTTTGCTTGCCTCGAAACATAAAATTAAAAAACGCTTTTTGAAAGCTTCTTACTGAAATCTGTTTTCAAAGAAGTTCGAATAATAAGAATAAGCATTGAACACAATGTTTTCGTTTCTGCGATAAGACGTCAAAGACTCGGGCTTATAGTGATTCAAGAAAGTTTATAAAATCTTCTTTCTTTTACTTAACTTCACAACATGAATCAGTTACCCTGCTCCAATCTATGTGCCAACTTAAATTACCCTTTAATTAAGGCCTTTAGATCGCTTTCGATCATCTCACTCTCTTTGTTTTTTTGTATCAAAATCTAATTTTTAAACTGAGCCTGAAAGTTCTTACTTTTCTTCCATTTGACCCTGAAATGTTTTTAGGTTCCATGCCACGTGCACCTACCCAATGAATCAATCCGCA